TTCACTGTGTTAGCCAGGATGGTCGCGATCTCCTGACCTCGTGATCCGCCCGTCTCGGCTTTTAAGATCATCCTGTAGCCAGAGAGCAAGGACACATTACACTATTATTCATGCTTCATAGGTGGACACGATTAAACTGAATGAAAAAGGAACACATCCCTCATGACACAAAATTAGTTAAAAATTCTAATATTAACGGCATAAAACGTGCTTAAGATTTAGCACTTGAACAGAAAACTCTCTTTACATTTTACACTTTATACTACTGCAATTTTTGGTTTTTCTTTGCATCCTTTTTTTTTTTTTTTTAAATCCCTTGAATATACTAACTGGAAAACCTGAACATCCAAAAACTGATTGCACTGCCTTTAAATGGGGGCATATGCTGGTATGTGAAGTTAAACGCATAAAGAGGCAGTCATTACATAGCAGTAGGTACCTCCTTGATTTGCTTCCTGCATATTTCAGAATCTCCGTCCTTCCCGCTATACTCCCTCCTCAGGCTGCTTCAGACTTCCGTCCTGTATTGCCCACACCATGGTAACTTCCTGGTTAGTCTCTGTCTCTAGGCTGTCCCTTAAAAATTCACCTTTCTCACACAGATTGGTCTGCCTAGGGCTGACATTTGGCTAACGTGTATCAGTACAATGATGCCACTTAATAAAATATTGAAATACTTCCTTACTATTTAGCAAATAGCTGAGTGCTTCCTCAGCCCTCCTGGTCCTTCTGTTGAGACCAACACCCAGACCTCTCTTTTCACCATTTCACACCTGAAGGCCTGATGCCTGCAGAACAGGAGGCCTCTGGGAGCCTTCCCTTCTGTGCAGGCTGTTCTGATTGTCAATGCCTGTGCCATTTCAGGTTGTTGTGAGCATTCTACCTGGATCCTCCCCAAATGGAAATTGACCTTGTACACCCCTTCATAAATGTCTCATGTCTCTCCAGAGGCTGTTGAGTAGCTTTATCATTTGACATCTTCCTTCTCTCCCCTCTCTCCCCACAGTACTTCCCACCTCTCCCTTTTATCCAGCAACAGCAGAGTTTCCTTGGTTCCTCTCCCTACCACCTGGTCATTCACAAGCAGGCTTGTGCTAATTCTCTTACTCGAATCCCTACTCCTCCCCTCCCTTCCCAGCTCCTTGGTGATAACACCCAGCAGAAATGTCACTCCAAGAAATTTTGCCTAATCTCATCCATTTCTCCACTCCCACCCACCCTTGTCTCCTTTATTTTTCCTCGTTTTTCCCATAATGCCTTGTTCATCTCTCATTACCTGTCGCAGGTGGGAGCCTGGGAACCAAGATGGATTTATTGGTTGCCTGAGGGTGGGCCTAGTGCTGGAGTCATCAGTGACTTCATACCTGGCTTCAGTTGGTCACCAGTTGGTGACAGAGTTGCCAACTTGCGTCTTACTGACAGCATCAATCAAATCTCTTCTCATTTTTTTGCTCAATGAAATGTTTCCTTTCACTGTGGTTACCGTAATTCAGATATGTTAGCATCACAAAATGGTATCTGTTTTCAGTAAACTACTTTACTTTTACTAAGGGCTTTGGAAATTAGCTGGTGTTTTGAGTTCAGCTGTATTGTAGCCAAAAAGGAGAAATAATTAGTTCTTTATACTTTACCTGATTAGAATTTAGAAATCAGTTTTTCTTTACACATCCCAGACATCTAGAGCTTCAGTCCAGCTGAAGTCTCTTGAATTTTTCAGGCTAGTCATTATGCATCTTCCTGCTTCGTGCCTTCATTTTTGCTCTTTTCCAATCCGTCCCCGCTTGGTGAAATTCCTGCTACTCTCCCTCTAAAACTACCTTTGGATTCTTCCTTCTCTTCTTCAGACAGAATTAACCATTGCCTGTTAATGCCATTGTGCTATGTTCATTCTTCAGAATAATTATACGGTGATACAGTGGTGGAGCGAGCTGCAGTGAGAGGCCATATGATACGATGACTAAGATTGTGGTCTCTCTGCAGCCAGAGAGCCAGGGTTCAGGTTCAGAGAGCCAGGGTTCAGAGAGCCAGGGTTCAGGTTCTCTCCCCAACTTAACAGCTGTGCAAACATGGGCAACTACCTTAACCTTTCTGAATGTCAGTTTCTCGGCTGTTATGCAGATCATGAAATGGTACTTAATTCGAAGGGTTGTTGAGAGGGTTAAATGAGGTAGATAAGTAGACATTCACCGCAGTGCCTGGCACAGAATAAGCACTCAGTAAGTATTAGCTCTTATTGTTTTGTTGCTGTTGTTACCTCTCCTTTGTTAGACTATGAATTTTGGGGGACAGGGACCACAGCTTATTTATTACATTGTATGTCTTCAGGCTCTGCATAGTTCCAAGCCCAGAATAACTAAACATTCAATAAATGTCGAATAAAATTAACAGCCAAACTTAATTAGCAAAGAAAGTCAGTTAAAAAAATTAATTCTAAAGTCAAATGTAATTGCTGTTAATCTTCAGCAGTGAGAAAATCAAAAGGTGGTATGCAGTTAATAATTATACACAAGAAAATTATTAGGCTATGTTATAGTATCTGTCTGTTTAAAGTCAAGTAAGTGGTCAAGAAAACGTAAATAAATTAGTATTTTATTGTTTTAAATCAGATGTTTCTTTGGCTCATTCTGATTTTCATGTTAGAATTCTGTAGATTTTAACCCATAAAGATTTCTGAAAATTTTATTAACTACATAGTGGAGGAAGTCCAGATTTTTTGATAAGGAAAGATGTTAAAATCTAGTGAAAGGATTTGAATTAACCTCCATTACGCTTATCGTTTTCCTTTTAGCTTAATGTCATTGTAAATAGTGAAATAGATGAATTTAGCAAAAAAAAAAAAAAAGGCAGATGTGTGGTAACAGTCATTTCGTGTGTGTTCATATTTCATCAGTTTTTAGTGTTAAAATGAACCCTGAAACTGAATGGTAGAAGTCGAAACATGATGACGTTCTAGATTATTCTTGGCAATTTAGTTAAGGCATTTCCTCTCCCCCAGTCCCCAGATAACCATCTTCCATGGTGCTGCAGTAACAGTGGTAAAAATATACTACCGACAGTTCCCTAGAGTTCCCTAGCCTTTTGTGCTTGTCATGGCCATGATCCCATCTGGTCTTCACAACCATTAGTTAGAAAGATCATTAGCTGTGTTTTACAGACTCAGGTTAAACAAAATTGTGCAGTATTAACCAGCTGCTAAATGGTGAGGCTGGAACCCAAATCCTTTCTTCTTTCAGATCCCATATTCTCTCCATGGTATATGATTTTTCAATAATAAATATTAGAAACCGAAAACTTGTTTTTCCCAAAGGATCTTAAGAGGGATTTTTCTACTTTATTACCTCTCATTCGTGTGTTTATTCTGTTTTCCTTGCTGTAATCCATATATTTTAAAATAAATATATGGTTAAATGAACTTACAAACTTTGTGCTCGCCACCCTCGGGCCAGGTGGAAGAAGGTATAATCATGATAAATGCACCAAATTAAGTAAGTGTTTTGCAGTGACTAATAGACTTACAACCTTTCTGTAAATATTGATCAACATTTCTTTTAAAGAAATTAAATACACAAGTATTCCATTGTTACTATAAAAATCTAAACATTATTGATACGGCTGAAGTTTGCCTTATCGGCACCCCTAGGCCACTCTCTACATCCCAGGGAACCTGTAGTTATTTAGTAATGTTTGTATTGGACTTGGAAGGATATTTTAGAAACCTTAAATATGTAACAACCATGAGTATATAGCTCTGGTCACCCAGTAATATGTCCGTACTCCTGGTATTTTTCTGTACATGTTTTTTTTTTTTTTCCATTGGTTTTACAGATTTAAACTTGTGTAGGAGACCTTTTTTAACTTCTAGAAAGTATAGATGTTATTCCCTATTTTGACTTCCTTTTAAAAAATTTAAATGACTTCTTTTAAATCAATTTGATTTATCATTACTAATACTTCCCCAAAGAGCTACACTTTGTTTTCAAGTCATTTTGTGTGTATAACAATATTATTTTATGAATTTTATAGTATTTGAATTTTAAAAAATGTGCATTATGTAATACTTCTTTGAACTTTTAAATAATCTATTTTCTCTCTTTGCCTGTGTCATTATGTACTTAGGAGAAATCTGTGTACTTAATAGAAATCTAGATTAGTGAATAAATGTATAATAAACTTTTTTTCACTTTAGATTATATTTGTGAGTGAGAATAGCGGGAACCTTTTCATGCATTTTCTCAAACATTTCTACTAAATATTTTCTTGGCATCTCAATTTAAAAGTAATATTCAAACTTCTAAAATACATTGAAAAGATATTTATGGGTATCTGCTGTGATCTAACATTGTTAATTCTAAAGTCAATCATTTGGTTAAGTAGAATTGTTTTTAAAATAAACATGTCATACAGACATTGTTCATTTCATAAACAGCTATTTTGATCAAATGCAAGTGCTAGGAACTGTTAACATAGAGGTTTCAAAAAGTGAATGAGATTGACTGTACCCCAAATCCTCATACTCTAGTTCGAGGAGCAGACAGTGAGCCACACCACGGGGCTCCAAGTGTGCGTTATGACTAACGTGTGCAGAGTATTGTGTGAATCCAGAAGAGAGAGCAGCTAATCTGGAGACGCAGTATACTGAGGAGATGTAATTAACTGTCCAAAAAAGCCTTATTTCAAGGACTCTGTATAAAGTCTTCCCCCTGGCTGCCAACCTTTTTTTTTTTTTTTTTTTTTTTTTTTTTTGGAG